TGCACATTTAGCATCATAGAACTATACCAAATATTCAAAGAGATAACAAAACCAAAACTTGGATATTGTATACGCTCTTGCTTGCTTGACATTGTGCCAGAAAAAGGTCAAACTTTGTTGCACTCGGACAGAGCCAAGGAAGAACTTTAAGGATTCACAAATCCAGGGACTTTTATTTATTGTCACTTTGCTTCCTTCACACTGTAGAGACGACCATGTTGCCCTCAGCTATAAACTGCAAACACATCTCACCTTTAACCTGGAAAGGGTGAGAAGAACGTTAGCAAAAAAATGTGTTTCACTCGGAGAATATATGTTTCTCTCGTTCACAAATTCACATACTTATTTCTTGTTACTTTGCTTCCTTCAAACTACATAAACGATTATGATGCACTAGTTGAGAACTGCAAAGTCTATGAGTTTCAACTGAAAACTAAAATGGTGAGATATCTCAAGCGGAAGAATTTGTTTTATTCAACAACGACTTTCATTTTTATCTTTACAGATTTACAAGCTAATTTTTCACTTATACATCTTTCAATCTTATAAATTACAAATTGAACTCTCATGTTTAATCAATTAAGATTTTGACCCTAATTATCAAATAGACCTATGTTTTTTCCATGTCAAAATATCATTTTTCTTACTTTATTTTGGTTAGTTTCTTCTAATTTTCGCAACAAATCTATATAAAAATGTGACTAATAATGACTTAAGCTATTTTGTAAGAACAGATTGGGACGATATACAACAAATGAATTCGTTTGCAATCATCGGGTAAAAAAAAATGAGTAAGTGTTTAAATTTCATAATAAATTACACATACATATAAATTTCGTGATTGTTTTAAGCAATTAAAGTACTATTACTTGCGACTCATGCCTATTTATATACGTTCTCGTTTATCTTTTCTTGATGGCAAATCTATGAAAGTTGAGTCATGTGACTTGTATTTTATGGATGCGATCTATATCTCATAATAAATGTGGCACATGATACTATTGACCATTCATGGGAGAATATTTAAAATGGCTTGTCACGTGAGGTGTGATATATCGATTTAATGGAGACTTAGAAAGAGGGAAGAACAAAAAGAGAGAATTGTGTGTATAATGAGATATATCTTCAAAAATATTTTATCAATTAGTTTTTGTCTATTCTGCCAACCTAACATTCGAAGACGTAATTAAGTTGATCACGTAGTATCTCCCTCAACCGTACAAAGATTAACGTCTCTTCTAGATTTTGCACCAATTTTTTTATGCCTATGAGCACATGACAACTTATATGTGCCATCTTCATCTTATTTCAATTTTTTTAATTCGATCAGAGACACGTAAACATTTCTATCCTATTGGAGTTAAAAAAAAAAAAAATACACTACTTAGTTTTAATTATTTTTTATTAATTTATAAACTTCGTTTTTTTATTGTTTTAGTATATTAGACTTGAAAAAAAAATGATCTTTTTTTTAATGAAGACGAGAAACAACACAGAAGTTTTTTAATCCTTTATCTTATAGTTATTTTTTTATCTCATATTTAGTTTATTTGACAATATTACTTGTATATGTTTCCCTTACGATAAAATATTTTGGACTTGACAAATTCTAAAAAGATTCCTGATAAATTGATTTAAAATATATGGCATATTTTTATAAGTTTCATATTAAACATTTTATAATATATTAAAAATTGTATTTTTCAAGTTCTAATAATCCGAAAAACTTTCGGATGAATCTATAAATGTTATGAAAAAAAAATTAAAATAATGACTTCGAAAATTGTTCAGAGATTGTAAAATTCAAAATAATGACTTCTTCTATCTATGTATTTATTATTTTACATAGATAAATTAAATTTATATAATTTTAAATAATAATATTAATTTAATATACTAATAATAGTATTTAATTATTATTATCAATGTTTAAAATTATTATTTATTTTTAATATTATTATTTTTCTATTTGAAAATATTCTTCTTTAAAATTATATAAAACTATTTTATTTATATAAATTAATAAATACATGAGATAATCAAGAACTATTTGAATAGATGAACGTCACATACACCCGTCCGAAAATTTGCTGAATGCCGTAAGCCAATATAAATGGATTGATCAATTCAAAAGTTTTTTTTATAACACTTTTAGTTTCAGATTTACTATTTAAATTTAAAAGATATATTATTTTATATATTTGGATGGTTTAATCCAGCATTTGAAAATATAAACTTATTTAAAAAAAATCAGCTTTTACCGGTGTGAAACATTCTAAAATATATTTTCAAATCATTAATCTCATAAAATATATAAGGGTGCCATTGTTGTCTTTTAAAATATATAGGTGCGGTAAGGAACTAAAAAGAAAGAATCTAAAAAACAAAGTCAAAATAAACGAAAAGAGTTCGTTTAATTATCTTTTCAAATTTGTCTATATAAGAGATATAATAACAAAATTTGTCTGTCTTATTTGAGAATATAAATATATAAAAATATATAATAAAAAAATTAAAACATCAATATATATTACTCATAATATAATAAACCACCGTGGAAAGATGAGAAGAACACAATCATTTATTCAACATAATAGAGAAAAACTTAATGCAGTGCTGCAAATCATTTATTCAACAAATCTTCACCCAAAACCCTGAACAAGTTGTTATAATGCACAACAGAAATTATAAATTCATGCTAAAGACATTATCACGTTTCATCACCTAAGAATTTGTATAACATTGGAGAAAACAATATAAATAAAGGATAAGGATTCAAAGTATTTTCTCTAACTTTTATATTCTTTAAAATTTCTCTGCATGATCAAGTATTAAAATCGTTATAGAAATAGCTCCAGAATTTGACTCGTGACCGAAATTCCATTTAGATATTGCTCCCACTAGTTCACTACAATTGGCATTGTTTGTGCAAAGAAAAAAAATATTGAATATATTGATTAACTTTATTTGTTCATAACAGGTAGAGAAAATAAAATTGTATACAATCTTTTTGTTTTCCATCAGATTTCTTCTAATTTGTGTTGACTTATCCATCTGACTGTGATATCAATTCAGAGTTTTAAATTCGAAAAAATAAAACTGTCATTAATGTTTTTCATACTAAAAACTATTTTTCCAGTAAAAAATATATAAAATTTATTAAACATGCTGGAAATCAGGTGAAATTATCATTCTTGCACATTTTAATGATTTTGATTTTGAAATAGGAAAGGAAATTTTTACAGAATATATTGTTGGAGAAAATTAAATGACTTTTATATTCTTGAAAGAACAAGTATCCTTTTCATTAAAAATATTTATAGTTTCATACAATGTAAACTTTATCGACAGGGATGACAATTAAACCGTCCCCGTGGAGATTGTCTCGTTCCCGCCCGAGTTTGACGGAGAAAACTCGAGTTGATCGGGGTGGGTTCAGATTTTCCCGCTTTAAAAAGTCGGGGCGGGGATGGTTAATGCAATCCCACCCCGACCCTGGCCCGTCCTCGACTTTATATTTAAATTTAAATTTTAAAATATTAATATTTTAAAAGTTTTTTTTCTTTTTCTATTACATATAATGTCATTTTTTTATATTTTACCAATTTTTATTTTTTTTCTACCTATTTTTTAATTTTTTTGTCTTTTTTAATCTTTTATATCAATTAATTTATTATATTATTCTCTTATACTTTATAGTTTTTCATATTTTTTTAATCTTTCTCATCAATTTGTTTTTTTTTCAATTTTTTCAATCAATTTGATGAACACAATTAATTTTTTTATTCTTTATCTTTTTCTAAATATTTTACATAAATCTTAATAGTAACTAATATTATTTTATTTATAATTTATATTTATTATGTTTTATTATGTCATTTGTTTATCTTATTATTCTTATTTATCATATATCAAATTTTATCTTAAAAAAATAATTATATTTTAAAGGATTAAAAGAATTAATAATTTAAACTTTTATTACTTTGAATTAATTGAATAATAATTAACTTATTAAATATTTCATTATAAACTATATATTTCATATTTTTAAATTACAACTTAAAAATAAATTAACTTATATATATAATCAAATGTTTGAATACAATATTATAATAATAATGATAATGTTATAAATATTCAAATATTTGAATACATTATAATAATAATAATAATAATGTTATAAATAAAAAATAATTAAATATTTCTTTTACATACATATTTTGATATAAATATAATAAATTAAAATGTATATTTAATTAATAATTATTATAAATTATAAAATTATAAATATTTATTTATATATAAAAAATAGATAGTAAAATTAATGTATTATAAATATAATTATCTTTTTAAAAATAATATAGATCGAAGACGGGATGGAAAACCCGAAACCCAACGGGAACAGAAATGGAGATTTAATTTCTAACTCCGACGGGGATCGGGGACGAAAATAATAAAAAAAGTCGAAAACAAAAATCGGGAGGCAAAACCTACCCCCGCCCCGCCGGTTGCCATGCCTAGTTATCGATGACTAAGGATAAGTGATGAGGCTATAAACTAGTGCATGAGACAGTAGTGGATAGGTGGTGAGATTAAATTATAGCAGGATGGATAAGTTCTAAGAATTAATTCTGCAGTGGGGGCACAAAGTCGGGTATCACAAACTTTACCATGAAAAATATTTTATAACTTAATTTGGAATATTAATAACTTTCATTAGACTGCGAAGGATGGAGTACTTGTAACATGACCTAACACATTTTTGATATAATTGAAAATATAAAAATATTATTGTTATGGATAAATCGCAAAAGAATTTCAGAACACTACAATTTGTCTCCCAAGAAAACTACAACCCCAAAGCCTGCTTCTATTTTTCATCAAATAAACAATGAAAACAAAACATAATTCGTTTTAATTTTAACTGATATACAGGAGGACAGGGGAGCTTCAAAATTGGTTTTACGATAATCAATATACCTGGTGCAATTCAACCTACGCTAACGCAGGCCTTTCTTTTGATTCTTTTTTCGCTTCAAACTCTGTAGGGAGAGTACACCAGAGGCACTTTTTCCTTCAAGGTTTTTGGTCATCTTTACCACACTAGCCATACCTTTTCTTGCGGCAGCCCGGTGCTGCGGACGACGACTCATCATTTTCCGATCAAGTGGCCAATATGCATACGGTTCAAGTTTGTCCTTTCTCTTCACATCCCCACTTGCCTTTTTACTCCCATATTCCTTCCCTGTGTAAGCCCAACCAGAATCTGATGTTTTTCTCCGCTTCTGCCCTTTAGTTCCAGACTTGCCAGACAAGTGACTATCAGGCTCACTCCTACAATCATAATCATCATCCGCACGTTTTTTCTTCCTCAATTCCCCTTCCTCGCGGATAATCAGCCGTCCTTCTGAATCTACCTCCATGTCATCATCTAACCTCGACTTTCTCTTGAGATGGTCTGACGTTTTAAGAGCTGACCTAGTTTTCTGCCGATCAAGTAAATCAAGTGGTTCATCGTCAGATTCGTCAGACAAGTGCTCGGCCAAATTCTTCTTCAGTCTGATATTGGACCTAGATACAGATAACTGTCAGTCATAATTGATTCAGAGCTAAAGCTTCTAGCTAGGGATAGATTCTACATTACTCATCATCTAATGGTTAGGAATCATAGATAAGACCTTTCAGAATATTGTCTTACACAATTTATGAACTATCTAGTTACAAAAATATATATATAACAGAAAAACAGGTATAAATCCAAAAACGAGGTCCATTTTGATTATAACGAAAGCTCAAATGAAGCAGCAAGCCATCAGAAGCATGAACAAGTTGAAAAGTACAGCTTACCTAAATGAAGATGCTGATGATTTGGGATGTAAGGAAGCCTTGCCACCTCTAGAAATCATGTGTTCTGCTTCGCTATTGCCACAATCCCCATCAAAATCTGAAAAAATCTTTGTATGATTCCACATGCTTTGCCTGAAAAGTAATTAAATTATTGGTTTCGACGCCTACTTAAACATGCCTGGCAATTTCAACATAGCACAAAATTCACTATAATAAAATTATTAGGACTTCAAGAGTGAACGATGCTAAAACCCAATTATGGGCAAAATTCATTGAACAAGTATTATTGATAGAGGAACCACATGTATGTTACTTTAAAATCGCTGTACGTCTTATCAAGAAGATTGCTGATGGACCAAATCTTAGTGTCAAAATTTAACTTACTTGACATAAAAATTACAAGTTTACTTGAGTTAGATATACAAAAAGACCTTAGTTATGAATTCCACACTACAGCACAGCGATAGGAGAATTGCTTCCCTAAACTGCCACAATTTTGCCAGAATGGTGCAACTGAATGAGGGTTAAAATCCCTGTTTATCCCTCATAATACAGAGTGTTGAAGGTTTACTTTGGTGGACAATCTTGCAATTTAGTCCCCATTAACGACTGAAAATAAATAAAAATAAACCGACTCTGAAATGGTCACACATGCCCATGTCTCAAACGCAATGCACTACTCTCCAGCCAAGTTTTCCAGCTCTATCCTTATGTTTCCAGAATTATTTGTATGACATCTAGCACCCCTTTTTTGCCATTTCTGTTTGTATTTGTCACTGTTCTCAGCTTACCAACACTTTTTCTGCCCTTTTAATTTCTAGCAACATATGTTATCTCTCGAACAGGTCTTTTAGAATATGGCTGTCACTAATTTTGGGTATTTTCATTTTGAACATTTATACATGTACAGTATAAATTACTTAATCTGTATCTAAATTTCAGTATAGTTACCATACTACTATCCTACTTTCTGGTTTAGGGGGACCTGAACTGCACTATTATGAAATTTAAACTGTTGCTTTTTCTCAAATAATGCAAACAAATAAAAGATTGTTACCTGGATGTTGTTGCTTTTGAAAAATGAGATCTAGTTTCTTCAGATTTAGCACTTCGATTTCTCTCTTTCCGATCCTTGATCTGTTAAAAAAATGGATTGATATTCCAGGAAAATCTTCTATGATAAATTATGACAATAATGGCATTCAACAAACCTTGCGTATGTTGGAAAGAAGTTTAATATGCTCTTCAGGCATGACAGCTTTAACAGCCTCCAGTCCACACTTAGAGACAAGCATTCCCAAAAGAAGTTTAACCTGAAAACAATTGTAATATTACAGTTTACAATATGAACAGTTAGTAGATTCCATTTTGAATCAGCGGCCATCCAAAACAAAACAAATAAAAGGTATCTAGAAAAGATCAGCTGAGACAAGCAAAACAACCTTTGCCTTAAAATGATTTTTTGAGTTGTCTTGCCACTTCAACAGACCTTCCACCATGCTTTTCAAGTGGGTTTGCAACCCTTCAGCTTGTGATTTGGCAACTACTACCTTTAAAAAACCAAGATTGGCCTACAAATTGATGTGACAGAGCACACTTAATTATTGGCTCTAGGAAATAACATAGGTAGCAGTTTATTTGACTCACAGAATAGACAAGGAAACGAACCTTGATTATCTCTTTATTATTACTCCGCAAGAGAGTAAGTGTGCCTGGTAGCAATTTCAAAGCAGTTAAAACAAGATCAGAGAACTCATAAGCCAAACGGGCTAAGCCTTTCGCTGCTGCACTTATCATGTGTGGAGTTTCCCCAGTAAAGTGTCCAGCAACCTGAGCTCACAAAAAGACATAAAATCAAATTAATCTATAAGGGCAAATAATATAAATCGTACAGTATTCAACAAGGGAGGCCAAGATATTATCAAGTCAGACCAAATAAAAGTGGAGTGATATTCATTGTTTCACAACTTAAATTGGATATTTACCATTTGAAAAAAATTATTCAAGTTTTCTCTGTTCCCACCTCTCTCCTTATCCCCAAATGCATGGGCAATTTCAACGAGAATCTCATAAGCCCTGTTCCTGGTTTTCTTGTTAGCCTGAAAGGGTAAATTTAGTCAAAAACCTCCAGAAGTAAGCTTAGAAAGTAGTGTGCATGCCAAGCATCAAGTGACTCTTGTGTCCAAACAATAATGCACATAACAGTTAAAATCACAGAAAATCATCATGACTACTGCTTAGTTCCAATCAAACACAATGCTTCGTACCCATAAATAAAGTAGAAGCATTGCATTGCATGAGTATATGTATAAGTCAAGACAACCAAAGAGATACTAAAGATAAAGATTTACAGAGAGATAAAAATAGGTTAAACAATAGCTTCAGAAATTTTGAACATTAAAGAAAAGAATTACAAAATGGACAACTTTTATTGGAACACTAATGCAACAGCTCATGTGTCATGATGACAATCAAACATGTATTATTGTGATATATGTGACTTTATAGGTGGGCAACAAATTGAAATGGAGTACATTACAAAAATATTATTTAACATAATCCAGACTAATGAAATAGTTTGCAAATTTATATGTGAAAAACAAACACCAAATATATCTGAAAAATTTATGAAGGCCTAAAACATTTGAAAGACAATCCTTCAAACCTGGTTCTGATCTAAACTATTAGCCCAAGTAGAGCTATTTATATGCGACCCAAAAATATGTTACCCAAAAGCAGTATGTGGTACAAGTAGCAACGAGACTACTAGATTCCATAAACAACTCCAACCAAATGCTTCGCCTCAACTTCAACTTATCTTTTCCTCTCCCCACACCCCCATAATAGTTTGTATATCATGTCTCTATTTTAACCCCCACACTCCTCCAAACAAAAGATTAAAATTTCTCTTTAAGGAGCCTTAAAATTCAGCAGCTATATGCTCATTGCCAGTAAAAACACTAAAAATAACTAGTCTTCCAAATATGGATAGCAGGTTACACCTCCCTTGGCCAGCCATCTGCAGCTGGACAAGACAGACTACAAGTAACAGCAGTCACTGGACTGATGCAGACAAGGTTGATCAGCTTCAGTTCAAATAAAGTGATAGTCAACAAAATAATTAAAAGTAGACAAGTGGTGTCAGAAAATACTAGTGTGCATATTCTCAAAATTAAAGCACAGGCTTCTATATGCTTGAGTGAACAGGAACAAAATAAAAACACTAACAAAAAGAGACAGGCTTCCTATTTGGATCCATATGTGCTTGCTAGAATCTCGGGACCATTTTGTTTGTTTAATGGAAGAGACTAACTTGACAAGTCATAATGGAATTGCAAGTTGTTGGAATAAGCACCTGGTTATGTTTGCCCACATAAATGCTGTCAATTTGGATGTAGCCAATGAAAGGCAACAGTCATATTAGATGTCTTACATGTGCAACATGAACGTCAACACTTACAAGGTGTGTTGCATAACCACATTCGATGCTATTGTATGTTTGGACGAATACAGAAAGCCATTTTGGACTTATCAGAAAGACAAAGTTGGTATCAAGTTGGATATCAAAAAGTGCATGGATAGTGCAGAAATGTGCCAGCTTCAGAAATAACTCAGTAAATCACTCTTCATATTGAATCTTTTATTTTATAAATAGGCAACTTGGAAACTTAAACTGTAAATTAAAAGCTTTCCACAATTAATGACACTACCTCTTTAAGAGCAAGTATAATTTCAGTAAGGAAAATGTCTCGCCAGTGCTCCAGATTATCCTACAGGCAATACACAGTTTCAGATTATTTCTACTCATACAAGAGTACATGCCCATAGAGTACCAAAACATAGAAGCAATAGCCCAGCATTGAATACCTTTGACTTTGACACATGAAGCACTAAGAAATAAAGGCAATCAAGTCTATGTCGTTTGGCAGAAAAATGACATGGAAGAATGTCAACCATAGTTCCAAGTAGCTCCTCAAATTTTGATGAAACAAAACTATCTGACCTCTGGCAAGAATAATCCAAAGAGAAAACTGTAAGCTGAAATATTTACAAAGATGAAACAAGCTATGCTTTAAAATCATTAACTTTTAAAGTCAATTTGTGGTGCTCCAAGGAACTCAACATCAATGATATATTTGATGATCCCTACAACTTAATGATTAGACAGATAAGCCAATTAATAAAACCTAATCAAGTGTATACTCTGACAAAATGAATATATATGGCAATAACAGTTATGTAAACAATTTAGCAGAGAAGTTGTACCAAGATTATTGATATGAAACAATTACATTAAAATGACATTAATTTGAAACTTCTATGTTAACTGGAGAATAAAATAAAATAGAGAAATACCCTAAGAATGATTGAAAGTACTTTATATGCCTTCTTCTGCATGACACCTTCAACATCCTGCAAATAAAAAAAAATATAACCATCTTTTCCTTCTAGAAAAGGGAAATTGAGAAATATTCCTTAAAGCACTTTATATCACAGTCAAACCTGCAATGCAGGCTTTATTGCTTCAAATAATAAAGCAATATCTTCAGAGTCTAAACCGGGCAACAGTGAAACTGCCAAATCAAGAAGTTGTGCCCTGGGATAAAAAATAATCTATGAAATAAATGCAGAAACCCATGAAAATAAAATAATATAAAAAATGGAGATGTGACAGACTAATATAAAATTTACAGCTTTGTGAAAAAATCGTTTTAGGGACGTTGGAGAGAAATAGATTACTATAAGCACCTTAAAATTGATGGCGACAAATTGTTTGATGCGTCGTCAATCTGCATAGAATGAGAAATTGTGGAACTTCCTAATTTGCTGGCCTTTCGAGTGCATTTATAAAGCTTCAACATTTTTTCCTTGAATAAATTCCGTACGTCTGCTTTATCTGCTATAGAAGCTACATCACCAATTGTACACTGTACATGAAGCAAGACCATAACTATTACTTCTTGTACATGTTAAATGTAAAAAGTGGAGGACCAATTCAATTTTGAACTCTTGAGAAATTAAGAAGCCACAAAAATTAGCCTGTTCATGGAAAGGATACAGTGTACTGAGGAAATTTAATCTGATATATATATATATATAGAGAGAGAGAGAGAGAGAGACACACACACACACATGCAACATTCGAAAGGAATATTTTACTGGCAATACTTCCCACACATCAAAGACAACACTTAGTCTTCAAAGTATAAGGTGTGTTGGTGTAATGTTTTCAAGCAATAAATAAAGGTGAGTGTAGGGGTCGAAGAAACATGGAGAGTTTGAGTAATATCACAAATTTAGGAGTAGTAAGTATAATTTACTCTTCTAATTAACATCTGTGAGCCCTAGATGTCTCAAGATTCTAGGGCCAATCTATCTATGTACTATTTCCCGAAAACAACAAAATTACTAAAACCATGACTTAATCTTAGTTCCTAGTCGCATGAAACAAACACAGAGAATGATAAAAATACAGAAGTGTCTAAGCTGATAGATTTTTTCTCCGACAATTATCTACATAAATTTTCTACATCTCTGGTGCTCCAACATAATGATTGGCACAGGGAAATAAGTGTCTCAGCCAATTTAAGGATAATAGGCGAATCTAATGAGCGTTGCATAGCAAAAACTGTATCAAATATGGAATTACAATGAAAGCAGAAACATATCCTAGGGATAATGAAGCATGAGTAGCAGTCACATAACTAGGCAACCAAAATCATAGAAAAAAAAAAAAGAAAATAATAACATATACAGAACAGCAAACTCTAATTATATGTTGTGTTAGGCAAGACATACGCTCTATTCAACTATAGTAAATTGCAGAACTATTACCAATTATTTAAATTTTAGTACCTGCAAACAACCACCGTCATCTTTCATAGATTTAAGGAATACTTCTGATAGATCTTTTAACCAGTTCTTTGCAGATGATTTCAGCACATATAAATTGTCTCTTGCAACCTGTGGTGAATAATGAACTTGTTCTTTGGCTATATCTTCATCGATATAACCCTTGTCTTCTAAATCCACAATATTGTTTTGCTGAATTAGAAGTCGCAAACTAGTGCATATTATTCCACGAATATCAAGTTCTTCCATCAGCTTATTACGTAAATGTTTCTCCAGATTCAAGAAACTTTTAGCAGTGTCTGAAGGGTAATTGCAAAATGAAGGCAGCAAAGACCACAAAGAGTATGCAAGTGCATCTGCATTTCTTGACGACACCATCAATCCTTGCTTCTCAAGCTGCAAAATCCACAAATAAATCATCGATGACATTTAACATGATACTGCACCTTCTTAAAATATGGTTTATACCTTTCGAGCTTTCTCCCTTACACGGCTAATCATAGCCAGAATTTGTTCAGTAAAATAATTTAAAGATGCACCAACAATATAATGTTTAAGAATTGGAAGGAGCCAGACATTTGCATCGGATAAATCTTCAGCTTCCAAATTCAGAGGTACAAGAGACAACAGAGTTTCAGGTCCCATTGCTATTAGAGCTGATCCAAAGCATTCATGCAGCTGCACATTGTAAAATGTACTAAATATCAGTAATTAATATAGCTCATAAAAAATTAAAAAGATCAGACAAGTTCTCAAATAAGATCCAACTTATCAATAATATTGACTAAGAAAGGAACCAAGAAAAAAGTAATACACCGAGCTTCTTAACAACTATTGAACATAAAATAAAATTTCAAGTGTGCAGCTTTCAACAGCTATACTTTGCTATCAGCTAAACACATGTACCATTTATCAACAATGTTGAATACCCTGTAGATACATATTACATTTAGCTTTGGATAAACACAAATTTGTTAACTAGAATAGCAGGTTCATAAACACTACCAAATTGCTTTTGAATCTTCATAACATTCATGATACATGCAACATTTAACTGGCCAGATCATATCAGAAACTGTTCTAAATTGGGACATGCAGTCGTACCTTGAAAAAAAGATCATGCCCAGGTTCATTACATAAAATTGTAAGTTCTACATTAATATAGGTAAGAAAAAATGAAGCGCAAACAAGATTATACCTGCTTCCTAAATGGAAAATCTTCATCCGGAAGCTTCTGCATATCTTCCATGTTCTTGAGTATCCCTCTCATAAAATAAGGAGAATAATTTCCTGTATTGAAAAAAGCACAATCTCAGATATCAGCATCGAAGTGTTCATACCAAGCTTTTCTATAAAGAATAATATTACAAATAAACTGTTCGTAGGAAGCTAATAAAGAAACCATGAAATGAAACCAAATCATGTTTTACATAATTTAATCAAACTGCAAGAAATAATGCATGCTACCAATGCCTAACAAGCAAATTACAGTTCAAAAGTCATATACATAGTGTATTGCGATTAGCGGTGAAAAATACTATCTAAAAAACAATTATTGTCATAATCCATTATAGAAAAAAGTTTTTTGTTTGGATATGTTATGTGACAAGAGATTATAAGATAATCCATTTCAATAAAAATGTCTAATTAAATCAATTAATAAAAAAAGGGTAAGAAACTAATTGTCATAGCATTCTAATAATTAATTATTAGAAATAAATTACGAATGCAAATAGTTCGCAAGAAAATCATCTAGTAGATTTTGATCATAAGCTCCAAAATTTTGCTTAGGATAAAATAGCTTTTCCCTTTACCTCCCAAAAAGAATGTCATTCAAATACACACCTAGTTTATGAAACATAGCTGAAACAACTTGAAACATTCTATCCCAGACAGAAGTGTAGTGATAATCAAGCAAGCTCTCGATGGTTGCACAAATTTTTTCAATGATGGTTGGTGCTGATTTCCTTGATTCTTTGTTTTCACTCAAACTGATCTGGTCCACTCCCTGTTTAATCAAACTTTCATCAACACAAGAATTTATCATGTTCTTGAGTGCATCAGTGGCTGCATATATAGCCTCTTCATGTTCAGATGCCAAGATATCTGCATGGTTAAAAATAATAAGCAGACCACTTACATAATTACCTATCTACAACATCTAGAAAATCCAAAAAACACAACAAAATTCGGAACATCTTACCTTTAAGAGCATTAAAGACAATGGGAAGCTTAACAACACATATTTGCCGGTTAAGGGAATAAACTTTATTCATTCCAGCATAAAGCAAGCGGGCAGTAAATGTTAATCTGTCTCCGGACATCTTCTTTGATTCAATAGAACGGGCCAATGAGTTTAACAACTCTAGTAGTGCTTCAGGGGAAACTTCCGAAGTTGGAAAATGACAGAGAAAACTCAAAGCATCTGTGATGCGCCTTGTGACAAGGGGTTGATGCAGATCCAAGAGATATTTGAAGTAATTAAGAATGCTGGTCTTAGATTTCCGTGACAAATAAGGAAGACATTCTTTCAAGGCATCAAGAATATATAGAATCTGCTGAGCCTCCTTAGTTCCTTCACCAGTATTTGCATTTGCTCCACCAACAAGCAATATAAACCTTTCAAGTAGGGCTGTGACCGCCTCGCTCGCAGATGCCACTAGCGAAGAATTTTGAAAGCTTAACAAGACATCACGATGACACAAATGTGATTGCTTCCTGACCTGTAGATAAGCAACTTGTTAAGATTTATCTTGTCGAACAAGCAAAACCTGGATTGCACAAGCATTTATATGATTCGCAACTTGTTAAGATTCATGTTATAATTCCAAAAACCTTGACAGCAATCCCTATAAAATACTCCAACGTAAAAAAGACGAATCAAAACTAAAAACAATGGAAAACTCAGGTTTAGAATTGACAGGTGATTAAGTACCTTAGGTCGTGAATCCGTAAGGAATCCTAACACGACATTGAATAAAGGAGAAACGTCAGACCAGTCGACGCTTTCCTTAGCTATCAACAATTGCGACAGACACTTCAATCCAGAAACAATCGCACTCTCCGACGCCGACTGAGATCGGAGAACTCGCAGAAGAAGCTCCGGCAGTGGCTCTCCCTGCAGACCATCCTTCTTCAACAACGCGCGGGAGACTCTGGGGACGGCGAGAGAGAGAACGGTGAGAAGGGCATCGATGACGTGGCTGGAGGGAGTGGATTCCGACGTGAATTTGTCGAGGGAGAGACGTGCGGCGCAGAAGTAGGCTAACGGAGTGCAGGGTTTGTTGTTGTCTTTGAGTTCCTGCGACATGGCGCCAATGACGGCGCAGAGGTGCTGGTGGCTTTCTTCGGAAGAATTGCCGAAGCGAGAGATGATTGAATTGCATAGATCATCGTTGCTTTCCTCTATATCAAATGTAGATCCTTCAATATCAATGTCTTCCATGCTGGATGGATTGATAAAACCCTAGCTAGCTTTCCAAGGTTTATCAGCTTATATACAGTTTATGCTCGGTTTATACACGAAGAACAGCCAAAGAAAAAAAAAAAAAACTAATTTATTTTACTGCTACTCACTCGCAGGAAATATTGGGCTGTCGGCCCAAAATTAAATGGACATTTTCTAATTCTTTTGGTGCACATCCATCCACAGTCATATTTTCTTCCCAGGTTCAAATAATTTATGTTAAATACAAAACTATCCGTATTCTTTATTTTTAGATGCATTTTGATGGTTGCGTCCTTTATTTTTATTTTCATGCCACAGGAATATTGTCATCATCCATACGGTTCCTAAAGTGTACATATATATGTGTGTGTATATATATATATATATATATATATATATATATATATATATATATATATATATATATATATATATATATATATATATATATATATATAATCTATCATATTATATTATTATTTTAAATAAAAACTTTCTGGAATAACATAAATTTTCATTTTAAAATATGTTTATATTAACAGAATAATATTGTTTATATGAATATGAAGATATAGACAGAAAATATAAGGGTAAAAAAATATCCTTTTAATAAATATTAAATTTATCGCCCTAGACCTTATATGAACATCTTCTCCGTTTTTTATTTTATTATTTCTAATATAAATTTAGGTCTATTTTTATGTGACGATGATTAATGACAATTTTTTTTATTGCTTACCTAATACACCTTCCTAGCATTTTTAATATTAAATATTATGATCTTACACATAAATTATTTAAAAGTATAAAAATTTTAAATATATTAATTATTCTTTAATATGAATATAATAATAAATTAAAGATAGTTTAAAATAAATTAATTAATAAAATAAAATTACAACAGACTTTATAAGAAAAGATAAAGTAAAAATAAAATAATAATCTTATAAATAGAGAAAAGAAAAATAATAAATAATAAATAAAGTGCAATACAATTAAAATTTTTATTTTAATTAAAAAATATCATTTAAAAAAATAATATTTTTTATAACAATATAGGTTTATAAATAAGTTAAATATATTTATTAAAAATAACTTTTTTTTGTTCAAATCAAACTTTATTACTTATTATTAAAATGAAAATTATTATATAATTAAATATAAAATTATATTCCGAATCATTCAACAAGAAATATTGGGCTGTCGGCCGAATATTAAATGGACTATTTTTTGTGTTTCTTTTGGTACGCACTCCTTGACCTTCATGTTTTATTTCATATTATCGTAGTTTATATTAAATGATAAAATTATTATGTATATTTCTAATTTTACATCCATCTTTTGTATTTTTTTTTTAATATTATTGTCACCGCTCATGGCGTCTCTCACAGTCTAATGTAGGGATATTTTTTATATTATTATTTAAAAAATTTATATAATAAATAAAAATTTAGTAGGCCTACTTTTATATAACAATTCTTTTTATTCTCCACTTAGTTTACATGCACTTTAATAGCATTTTTAATATTAGATTTTTGAAATTTATTTAAAATTAAAAAATACTGTATAAACAACTTTAATTCTTACAAAATTCTTGCAACAATTATATTTGTATGGATGTTCTAAACAATATATACATTATTTACTTTAAATGAATTTGTTATGCTATATTACTTTTAAGAAACTTATATTAGATATAGGTAGTTTTTCTAAATATATATATATTATAATTTTTTATTTATATTTCTTTAAACAATTTATAAATAGTTTATTTATTATAATTAAATATTAATTTAATATAATATTTTAATTTACTTATGATAAATTTATCAAAAGGTTTTAAAATTTTATAAAGGTAAAAATAAAAATTTTTATAAAACTATTTTTTCATAAAAAACTATAATATTTGATTAAAATAAAATTAAGTTTATCAAAATTCAAATCTAAAAGAGTATTATATATTATTATTATATAATTATTTTATAAATAAAAAAATATTTTCAAAAATCTTATTCTTACGTATAATTGAAGTTAATAAATTATTGTTTTTGTTTTATTTAAAATAATAATAAATTAAGGGATTAATTATTAAAATAGTTGAAAAATATTGAAGTAAAAGTTTTGTTATTAAATAGTTTTTTTTTAATGATAGTACTGAAATTTTAACAAAAAAGTAATTTAAATGTAATTATTAAGATAGTACACATATTTTGATGAAGTTAAGAATAAGGTTTCTTGACAATTATAATATAAAAAATTTCACTCTAGATCCTACACTTACTTTGAGAGGTTTGGAACTAAATTTACCTTAAAAACCATAAACAGGGCTATGTGAGATGAATCATGAATTTGAATAATAATAATAAACTATCATATTAACAATTAACTAATACTTCTCTAATAAAAAAAACTCTCAGTACATATCTATTATTTTTAAATATATCGTTTGTGACATGATATTTTATTATTATATATTATAATAATATTATTGTGCAAGAAAATTTTGAAAAGAAATTTTCCTTAATTTTTTTTAATATATGTATGTACAAAAAGGGGGAGGAGGCTGGAAATTTCAGCAAGTAATTCTCCCTCTCATTCTTTTTCTTTTTTTGTCTAAATTTCAAACAACGAGACTCTACTCGTGCAGGATCTGGTGAAACGAAAGAGAACTTGGATTAAGTAGGAAAATTTTGATAGAAATACCACACCAAGTAAGGAGAAGTTTAATTCTTTCAATATATGAAACTAAATTGTTAGGTATTCTGTGAATAAGGAATATGAGTAGAAATATGAATTATTTGAATGTCTGATTTGAAGAATTTTTTATTTTGATGACTGTTATTGGTTTGAAAGTTTTGAAATTCTTGAAATTAAGGATGGATTATATGATAAAATTGTTGTTTTTTACTTAAATTGAACATATTTCATGTTTAATTTCAATTCGGAACTAGTTTGGTTGCCTGAAACTTGGAAATTAGAAATCTAGAAATATCTGACATGGTTAATGGGCGAAGGAAGAAGAAAAGGATATGGTGGGGATTTTTAAAAAAGATCAAGGGTAAAATAGTCATTTTGCATCCTAGGGACATAAATGGAATTTTCAAAAATATTCAAGGGTAAAATAGTCATTTTCAGGACAGGAAGGAATTTTCGAAAATGTCTAAGGATAAAATAGTCATTTATGGGACATGGAAGGAATTTTTGAAAATTTCCAACGGTAAAATAGTTATTTTTGGGACATCGAATAAATTTTCGAAAATATCCAAGGGTAAAATAGTCATTTTTAGGACATGGAAGGAATTTTTGAAAATATCAAAGGGTAAAATAGTAATTTTTCGAGACATGGAAGGAATTTTCGAAAATGTCCAAGGGTAAAATAGTCATTTAGGGACAGACATGGAATTTTAAGAAAAAATTAAGGGCAAAAGAGTAATTTAATAATTTCGGGATGAAAAAGGAATAATAGAAAATATTTAAAGGTATAATTGGAATTTTAGAAATAAAGTAAAGGTATGTTAAGAAAAATAATTAAAATATAGAATGAAATTAGAAATTTTAAAGATTCAACAGTGTGTTGTGACGTGTGTGGATCAGACTGAGTCTAAGGGCTGATGCCCATAATTAGTCATGAGATGTTATGTATTGGCTAGACTGAGTCGGAGGGTTGGTGTCCAGAATCAGTCAAATACTATTATTTATTGACCCGAATGAGCCGTGAGGACAGGTGGTCTAGAATCCGACATATGTGAATGATTTTTGTTGTGTTTGAATGGTACTCGGGGTGGTACAAAGTACATTAGTGTAATAACTACGTCGGAGGATTCTGAATGAGGTCTCAGACTTCATTGATTGGTTGAGTCAGGTAGACTACGAGATCAGGTGGTGAGAAGTCGATGAGGGGATGACTGGTGGCACGCTCGGAGGGGTACTCCAGTGAGTGATGAAGGGCGCCAGTAATATTAATCTGTGTGGAGGGTGGTCAGAATGGTAATACGGGTGCTTATCACAATGTGCCCACAAATGATAGCCTCTAAGTTTAAGCATATTTAGGGTAGACTTCCGGAATGCGTCTTAGTGTATTGATAATTTGTAATTGATGATAATATGTAATTATTACTCCTATATATGTTTTATTATATCGAATAATTTAATATTTACCCCTATTTTTCCATGTGGATGGGATTGCGATGATCACTTTTATGTGGGAGCAAATCAGAAGTTGAGAGGTGAAGATGCGACTACTGGACAACAGGGATAGTTCAATGGGTTAGCTTTGTGGGAGCTACTTTTGCATGTATCTATATAAATAAATTATGTTATTATGTTTTGAGGTTCCACCAATGAACCAGGATTTCAGTCTATATTATAATTACAGTAATATAAATGTTGTTATTTACTTGTTTACTATTTTGCGAAGGTATCATTATAGTAGCGATTTCTAGGATCGTTACAATAGTAGTATCAGAGTGGTAGTATCCTTGTAAATCTATGGGGATGGTTAATGACCCTATGATAAGTCTGTTGTGCTCTGATATGTGAGTGTGTGTGAATGTTTGTTCTGTACTTATGGTTATGTTTGATATAGGATGGCACCGCGACCTCCTACTCCTACTCAGCCGAGTGTAGATGACCTAGTTAGGGCAATGGAAATGTTGGTAGCTGTCATGCAGCAGCAGGCTACCTACCCGCAGTGGAGGCCAACTATGGTGTCATCTTCTGTTGGATTCCAGCAGTTAGAGCAGATGAGGCTGACTGAGTTCATGAGGCATAATCCGCCTCGTTTTAGAGGAGATTTGGGTCCAGATGCAGCAGATAGGGGTGTCAATATGGATTCTAACCCGTGAGCCAACCCGGCTCACCATGGGTTCGAGCTGGGTTGGGCTGGATTTTTTTTATTTCTACCAATTATGGGCTAAAAATGAACCCGGCTCACTTAACCCACGGGTTAAATGGGTTCGAGCAGGGTTATGGTGGGTTGGCCCGCAACCCACCATTAA